ATAAGTGACAAACCCAAAACCCCTGGAACGCTTGGTGTTCGGGTCTCTCATTACCACGCAGTCTGTGAGTGTTCTCCATTGCTCAAAATGGCTCCTCAGACTCTCATCAGTTCTTTCAAAGCTCAGCCCTCCGATGAAGAGCTTCCGTAGCTGCTTGGGCTCCTTGGGAGACTCTGACTTAGACATGACGGCAGTCGGAAGAGGGCCTGATGATGCTTCCTCCACGGTGTCCACCAGCAGAAAGGAATCGATGTGAGCATTTTTAAATAGGAGGTTCTGAAATCACGCTTTTTGCTGATCAGCCAGGTCTACCAGGAAGGGATTGAAGATACACTAGGAAGAGAAGGATAATCAGTGTATCGTGAGATTTGTGAGAAGGGAATGGGAGAGGGAAGACGTGGCGCAGTGTGTCAGTGAATTTGATATTCACTTTGCTTGGTATTGAAACTATATCCAGACGTGCAGCATTCCATTCCCCTAATGACGAGAGGCTGAGGATGGTGAGGTTGGGATGGGGTAGAAGGAAGGGGTGAATCCAGCAGCTGGTGGTGGGCATGGACCAATCAGGTCCCTGCCTGAGAGGATTTTAGGCAAAGTGCTGTCCTTAGAAAAACCAGGTTTTAGCAGAGGCAGGGAGTGTGGCCAAGCAGTGGGCAGTGTGTTGCTCCTGGAATAAGTGCTAGAGGCTTCTGGCATGGAAGGCAGAGGAGGAGGCTGCAGAGCTGAGGGCAGAGAGGTGAAAAGATGCTGAGCTAGAGGCGTAGCAGATGGTTGGGCCTTAGGGTGTGGGGCTTTGCATGTGAGGTTTTCCAGCTTGAAGTTTGAATCTGAGAATTTCAGGACTTAGAGTGGCACAGTAGATCATTGTAACCTTAGAACTGTAGGGCCTGAAGGGGCTTTGAGAAGTAAATATTTTCTTTCCAATCTGACTCATAGGTGTTTTTTTTTTTGTCTATAAGAAAGATTCTTCCCTTGAATGGGAAGGATTTCACTTGTGTTGGAAAAGTCTGAATTTTTCTTTTCTTCTTTTTTTTGGGCGGAACCGGGGATTGAATTCAGGCCCTTGCGCTTGCCAGGCAAGCTCTTATTCTACTGAGCCATCTCCCTGGCCCCAAAGTTTAGCTTCTTCTCAAGCCTGTTTTAAGTGTGTTGATCTCATTTCTCTAAAGAGTAATAAATAATGTGACATGTCATATATAGTTTTCATTTTACTTGAGTATATAATTTGCACTCAGTAAATACATGCAGTTGCACTAAGTTACATGCCATTTCCGTCCAGCTCTTTTCTAGCTAGTGTCTCTCAGATTGCCAGCATTACCTTTCCAATGAAGAGATATGAACTTGCCTTTAAGTTCCTCACAGTTTGTTAGATTTATTATTGTAGCATAGTAAGCAGAGAGAAGGGCAGGAGCTCAAATCACATAAGCTATTTATTTGTTTGTCTGTCTATTTTTTGTTTTTTGAGACAGAGTCTCACTATGCAGCCCAGGGGGAAGTCTTGAGCTCACTTTTAGCCCAGACTCATCTCAGACTTACAATAGTCTTCCTGCCTCAGTCTCTTATAGCCAAGCAGCACCACACCTGACCTTCATCATTTTTAAAATCAACATTTGCTTTAACAATAGCAAGTGTTTCTGTGGGCAGATTGGGCATTTGGTCGTTAACTAAGTTAATGGTTCAAATATAAAAAGAACATGTGGGCTGGTGCGAAAGCTCAGTGGACTAAGCTGGACTAAGTGCCTGCTTAAGCCAAGTGCAGAGACTGGGGTTCAATCTTTGGTACCACATGCATGCCAGACCCACCTCCGGGCACACTGAGCTGGCCACTGAGACCAGGTGTGGTGGTACATGCCTATAATCCCAGTGCTGGGATCACTATGAATTTGAGCTGCATAGTGAGACCCTGTACCAAATGCTTTAAAAAAAAAAATAAAGAACAATAAAAAGAGAGAACATGATGGGAAATAATACGAATGGATCATTTTAATAACCTTTGCTAGCAGATTGAGTGTATGTCTCTTATTCTTCAATGTACAAGTTTATTCAATATTAGTTGCATCAGAATCTCTCATTAGTTTAAAGTTCTGCTTATTTGCTGTAAATTTCCAGCCCATTTTTCATGCTAAGATTACTTATGATGTCAAATGAGAAAAGTCACTTGCTGCACTTTTGATGCCAATTTATTTTGGAAAGCTACCATGTAATTCTCTGTTTGAACGTTTTGGTTTTTAGGGAGCTGAAAATTGCTTGGAAGGCCTTACATTTGTGATCACAGGAGTGTTGGAGTCCATTGAGCGAGATGAAGCCAAGTCTCTAATTGAACGTTATGGGGGAAAGGTAACAGGAAATGTTAGCAAGAAAACGAGCTACCTTGTCATGGGTCGTGACAGTGGACAGTCCAAGAGTGACAAGGTGCGTCCTGCTGCACTCTCCACAGTGATAGCCTGCTTGCTTTGTGATGTGACTGTAGTAATGACCTTTCCATGAAATTAAGTTGAAAAAAGTGGAAAAGTAACTTTGTTCCCACATAAGTGTTGTGGACTTCATGCCCAAGATTTTGATTTTCCAATTGAAGTCAGAGTGCCTGTTAACTTTACTTTCTTTTAGTTTAAATCTTTTTAAACATTCAAAGCCAGCCTGCCTGCCTGCCTGCCTGCCTGCCTGCCTGCCTTCCTTCCTTCCTTCCTTCCTTCCTTCCTTCCTTCCTTCCTTCCTTCCTTCCTTCGTTCTTTCCTTTGGTACAAGGTC